TAGTAGTAAAAAATGAGGAGGATGAGAAGAAACAGAAAAAAAGGGGCAGAGTAAATGATGATGATGATGATAATAATAATAATAATAATAAGAAGAAGAAGAAGAAAAAGAAGAAGAAGAAGAAGAAGAAAAAGAAAAAGACGAATGGAAGAAGAGGCGGAGGAGGAGGTTTAGACTCTTCCACACATTTCATAATCTCATTTCGTCAGGGGAAAAAAATCGGTTGTACATGTGTGTTATTACAAGTTTTTACGCCTAGTCTCAGCAAAGATTAAACAAATATCTAGTTACAGATTTGAAAACACAAAACAGTATACAGTCTGAGGTTTCAACGACGGATCCACGTTATGGCATACGGGTTTTAACCCCTTAATGCTCCTTTTTTCTTCTGATTCAAGTCTGAGTCCGAAAAAGCGCAGCACAGTGCACAGGCTCTGTAGCACCGGTGAGGATCCTGAAATACTGTAGGTAGAATTTTAACTCCAAATGTTGCCCGGGTAGTGCCGTAAGGCTACTATTTTCGATTTCTAACTGCTAAAGGATTTTGTTTTACATGGGCAACAATGCAAACGGGCGTCCGATCTCACTACCTAGAGACCAGGGGGAATTACTAGAAGTCCATGTCCACGTGAAAAAATCCCAAACCTTACCGCGGATTGAACCCGGAACCTCTTGTACTCGAGGCGGACAATATGCCTCGAGACCACGCGGCATCCCGATGAAAGGGTATCTCCATGTAAGAAACATACGCGTGCAATTTCGACTGTAGTTGTTGACCCTTTGTGCAAATTGCTATGAATTTCTCTGAAACCGAACAAACAAATAAACATTGTAGCTGTCAAGAATAGAAGTAGAAGCAACGCGGGGAAAGGAAGGGGAGGGGCGGGGGTAAGTTAGACAGTCAAGTTGCTGTGTTATCTTGAAATTTATCGGCAGCGCAGCGTCCTCATCTCTATGGCCATCTCAGATGGATACTAGTCGTGTTATTTTCAGGCTCGCGTGATGGTAACATGACCCGAAGTCTTTCCTCTGCCATTCACTCTAGCCGGGAAACATCTCGTGACTGACCCAAGTCTTTGCATTAGGTTTCCATCTGGCCCGGTGTACATTAATGGAGTCTCCATTTCACTTATACTTTTCCCGTTGTCTCTTTGCATCTGTGGGTCAGGCGAGGAGGTGTCTTGCCCACGCTGATGGCGGTTGAAAGAATGGTTAGATGGACAAGCATACAGACAGACTTTAGTGTTGGTTGTGATAGCGGTTGGATAGGCAAGCCTACAGACATGACCAGAAGTAGTGGTCAGACAGACAATAAGGCAGACATGAGCAGAAACAGTTATTGCTTGGACATACAGACATTATCTGAAACAGTTATTACTTAGACATACATACATGCGCTGAAATAGTGGTTAAATAGACATACAGACAGACTCGATGTGAAACAGTGGTCACATAGACAAGTTTATAGACCTGACTTAAAAACAACTGGTTAGGTAGAAAGTCATAGACACCAGGATTTTATGGTATGGCTTGAAATATTTCTAGACTGGAGAGGACAAAGCAGAATGAGCCTAAGCCTGGTTTAAGCAGGTAATGATAATTATTTTTATGTGCTGAATAGTACTAAATATAATATAGTGATATATTTGAAATAATGTGTAATAAATAAATACTTGGGAGTCGCCGTGGCGAAGAGGCTAGACAAACACCGCGGATCGGAAGGTCGTGGGTTCGCTCCCTGGCGGAGCCAGACTTTTTTTTTTATAAATGACCTGGGCTCTCAAGTCGACCCAGCCTTAAGTGGGTACCGGGTGCAGTCTCGTGAAATAAAGGCGGCCGGCGTGATGCTGACCACATTACCCATCTTGTGCCGATTGGTTTATGAAAACATAGGTCTAGCCCTGTATGCACTATACGCCAAAAGGCCTGGAAAAGGGTCCTTAACTTTTTTTTAATTACATAAATAAATACTTTACAAGAGAGCTTCTATTCGCTCAAGGCGGTTACCATGGCAGAGCGATCCAGCACTGGACAGTAATGATGTCATTTATGTCATGAGAGACGCATACAGCGAAACAGATCAATGCAACAAGCAGGGTTCTATATTCTCTCCAAAGGGTGGTGGATATGGAAATGCCACCTGGATCAGTCTGATATGAAGTGGCAAGACGTCTGAATAATCGACATAGAACAGGCATTTTAGTCGTTTTACTCTTGCGAAGTTATTGGAGAGAAGACTAGAGCACGTATGGATCTTTCAAGCGTACAATGGTGCAAATCCTCCCTATGATACGCGGGCGAGGGGGTGGTGGGGGAGGGGGGGGGCGGTTGGCGCTTAGCATCCTTAGAAATTCTCTAGATAGTGAGAGCTGATGTACCAAGCCTCATAACTAACAATAGATAAGTCAACGGATGAGGCAGACAGAGGTATCTGGAGTATTATTCTTAATTTGAGACTGTTAATGAAGGAGGCATTTGCACCAACATGCCAAAACGGACTCGGTGCACTGACAATTATAGCAGTAATTGGCATGGCGCAAAACAAGTAGTTTTCACCTAGTATCGCAACTTCATAATCTCACTGATATATTATGGACTTTTGCTGCTTATCGAATCGAATAGTCTGCTGGTAAACGTTGAAGAAATACTGGTGATTACTGCACGTAGAAGAAGTTATGGAATACATCTGACTACTGCAGCCAAGCTAAAAGTGTTGCAATCTAGGTCATACAGATGGAGCCACCGCAGTGTCGCGGCTAGACGCTTGTCTGCGGATCTGAAGGTCTTGGGTTCGAATCTGAACGGTGCCGAACTTTTCTCAAAAATGACCTTGGCTCCCAGGTCGACCCAGCCTTAAGTGGGTACAAGGTAAAGTCAGTCTTGTGTAGGGTTCGTATCACATTGAGCAGGGAGGTCAGTGATTGGCGAGTGGGCGCTGCATAATCAGAAATTAATCAGATGAATCATGAAAATCCTCGCAAATATAATGTGATTGTCTATACGACAGCTATGTGTGGAGAGACAGAAAAAGTGCATTAGGGATTCATTGATAATGCGAATTGACGAGGTATAGAACAACACGGTATAGCATCTCATACAGTGGCATCTAGTTTGGGAATATAGGTAGAGACAGTCACAGTCACAGCTGCTTTCTGCTGGCTTGAAAACAGACTGCACACACGTATCCTAATTGCAACTGACCTACAAAGCATGATGAGAAAGGTGGAGACGGGCTTGCTTCGTGCAGAGTGGCAACCATTGCTTTTGAGGTCCCGGGTAGTTAAGAGTTCTTTGGACCGTCTCTCCGCTGTCTAAAGGTATGTTGGGAAATGAACAAGCAGACAAATCGGCTGGTTCTGCAGCACTGGGTGGTGAATTTTTGCATGACAAAATAGATTTGACCAGGGTCCTTTGGAAGCAAGTAAGTAGTGCGAAGCACGAATGGACAATGTTGGTCTTAAGAGAATGTTACAGACATGAATAACCAGTTGATTTTGTCAGCACTCTACACTCCCATTTGAATAAGCTGAATGTATAATCAAACTGCTGCTAGAACCATCGCAACTTGAAATCTTCGCTCTCTGCTGAAGATAAGGATGGGGCTTTAATATGAATGTCTCGAGTGCTGTGATGTCAGTTTTCAACTACACCCATCTCAGAAACACATTTTCTGGTAGTCTGATAGTCTGGTAGTTTTAGTTTCAGCTTCATAGCAAACGGGTCAACCCATCTTTGCTCCGCTCCTGTGCTAAAGAAAAACACACAGAATGTTTATCACAGTCCCTTGTGGAAAGATTGACAGACTGCTGTCTCAGCATATATAGTATACACACGCATTAAAGCATACGGTAGCCATCAGAAGTGCCAACACAAACAGTCCGACATTAGAAATGCAGTTCATCAATGATGGTAGCAGAAGTCACCAACAGATCAGCAGTTGCCCACGCGATCAATTTTAATCACATACAGGCACCACCAACATTTTCTGAATCTACAGTTCACACAACCACGTTGGTCACAATTGAAAAAAAAAACGCTAATGAAATTCGCAGCTCACAGTGTCACGCCATGCATTCAACTATATCTAGTCTACAAATGCAGCAAAAATGCACCGTCTGGCAGAAGCAAACAATTTTCCTAGACTTAACAGTGCCCCTGCCTTGCGTCCATTTTGATGGGAAGTCTTTTCTAAGCGGCTCAGACCCTGCAACACTTATTGCACCATTTTTCTACAGCATTAGCCCAAGGTTATGGCGCTCTTGGCCTGTGGAGGTCTGGCTTTTCAATGGCCTAATTGTTCTATGGTCTAACTGTTTAAGGTCTAACTATTCTATTGTCTAACTGTTCAAGGTCTAACTATTCTATGGTCTAACTGTGGTCGAATCAAACTGTTTTGTGGTTCAGTTGTTTTGAGGTCCAGGTCCTCTATGGTCTAAATGTTTTTCCTCCAACTTTTGTATGCTCTAACTGTTCTGTTGTTTATGTATTCTCCGGCTTAACTGTTCAATGATCCACATTTTCTATGGTCTAAATGTTGTATGATCATCACCATGTAGCAAATCCTTTGAGAACCTGGCTCCCATCACGGTCTGCCTGACAAAATCTCTGTCTCTCGCCAGCTGTTCTTTCGTGTATTCTTTCCCGTCTAAGGTATTAATTATAACCTCTTTCAATATGTCTTTGTTGTTATTGTTTTTGTTGTTGTTGTACGTATTACTTTCTTCCTAGTCCATAGTGTTAGGAGAATCGTTCTACTGCATTATTTTCGTTCTTAAAGACTCACATCCCTATGTGGTTACATGAAACATTCTAAATATTGACTTTGATTTCCTTGCAAGTGCTTTACCATATACCTTTATTGCTACTTAATCTAAGCAGTGCTAAGATAATCCTTCTTTTGACTTCTGTTGAACAGTCTCTATTTCTGTTTGTTATGCAGCCGATATATTCAAAGGGTTGTGATGATAGTCTTCAATAATTTCCAAACCGTCTACTCTGAGAAAGGAAACCTTTACAGGCGAAGGAGATGGTAACGAGTCTAAGTAAGAGTGCGGTATCCAAGACAATCCTTCCCAGTATGAAATGCGACACTGAAAGCGAAACCACACGTTCCCGTTGAAGTCTGCACAGCCCCAAGGCCTACATCAGCCTAGACATCTCACGTGACACAAAAACGTTCTAAACGAATGCCGGGAACTATGTTCGAAGTAATCCGAGACTCCTTAATAGAAAACCGAATCCTTTGTCAATAAAAGACTTGTTTTTCTGGGCTACATTTGACAGATATCTTCTAGTTTTAATTTTAGAGGATAACCGCATTATATCGTCGGCTTTAGATGCATTTTAGATGAATGTGTGTTGTGGAAGCCATTAGTACATGGGAGGTCATGAAAAAAAAAATCCACTGCACGTTTAAAACCCAGCGATAGAGAATTATAGGTTACGTTACAGTACACAATACAGTACTCTGTAGACCTGTGCTATATGACTGTATCATTGAATGGGTTTTGTCGGGTTGGCGCATGTTTGGCACCCATGGAGGGTTAGTGTTGACAGTTAATGGAAAGTGGGATTTCAGTCAACCTTATTAAGTAATTATGCTACTTTTATTTTCTTCTTCTGTTTTTTTTTTTTTAGTGTGACATGTATTAGTATACGTGGGCCCAGAAATATGGTGCTTTGGCGTTTTTGAGTCCGAAAATGTATTCGAAAGCTAAACTGAATGCAAGCTCCGCCCCCTCCCCACCTTTTTGTGTGGAAAGCGACATTGAACGACTGTTGTGTGTGTGTGTGTGTGTGTGTGTGCGTGGTGTATGTGTGTGTGTGTATGTGTGTGTATGTGTGTGTGTGTGTGTGTGTGTGTGTGAGTGAGGCAGTGTTCAACCAGTTTTCGTTTCTCTGATAACTAAGTCTCTTGTGCAACCGTCAATGGTTTGAGAATTGGTGACATTCTGGAGCCAGCGCACAAAGCTGTATCATACAAAGTGCCGGCGCTCACAACGTTGGAAATAGGACGTGCTGGCCGCTCACAACGTGGGATATAGTATGCCTACAGCGTTGAATACAACACAACATGACATCACTAGAACATCAGACAGCCCTTGGGAGCTGGTACAGCATGACTAGGAGCTGACACGAAATCTCATGTCTGGCGAGATGCGGTAATATTCTTATACGTACCATTTTTAGGCATTTAAACAAGGCCTCTGATTTTTTTTATCACCACTTCCTCACCCCTTGACATTTATTTAACTAGTTGTGCTACCACAGCCATACTTTTTTATGTCCTCAGAAGTTCCGGACAGTGAGAGAGGCGTGGCTATTGTCTGCTCCTGGTGCCAACAGAACGGCAATAAACTTTTTACACTGGAGAGTTTGGCCGGGAACAAGTCTTTCTGCAGCGAGGTCTGCTTCACCCAGTGCAGACGAGCGTCTTTCAAGAGAAACAAAGTGAGTGCTAGAAATGTGGTTTCTTAAGGAAATGTTAAAAAAAAAATCTTAATTTTTCTAAAACACAAATATACATTTATTCTAGTACAAAATATATATTTATTCGGTTAGTTTGATGTTGCTCTCCCCATTTACTAGCTCACTTCTGATCGGTCGACCTTCAGCCTAGCTCACCTCTGATTGGTCTACCTTGAGCCACGTATCCTTGGTACAAGGTGACGGGGTGTGTTCCGCAATGCGGTTGATATTTCAGCATGTCAGAGCTTTTAATACTCCAAAACATCGACAAACAGGGTCTAACACAAAACTCCTTTAGAGAGTAACAAAACCTATGCCACTGTCGTTCTCTTTCTCGGAATAAAAACGTAAATGCAAGACAATTAGGAAAGCGAACAACAGAACGACACACCCGTAACTTGCAGGAAAATAGACCAACCCAACAATTTGTAAATGGAACGTGACCTACTTTGTCGAACTAAATATTTATTCATGTAATTTAAAAATTCCCAAAAAAAAAAAAAAAAAATTATAAAAAATACTTGCGTATCCCATACACCAGGGCTGTTCAACTAAGTTTACTCAGGTGCCACAGTTCATAAAATTAGGATTGTTGGGGGCCAGAAGCCCTAACATCAGTACAGAAAAGGAAAACGCAATACAACTGGACATTATCTGCGAGCCATTTCCTCTGCCCCAGCTGGCCAGATTTGGCCCACGGAACGCCAGTTGAATAACCCTGCTATACAAATAAGTTCTTCTTCATTGGGGGGGGGGGGGGGGGGGTGTGTCTTTCTGATACCAGGTTGTAGCCCAGTGTTGTGGTTTTCTATATTTGTCTTGCGTTTCTCGGGTGGCTTGGCTGAAGGATTTCTTAATCATTTTGCAGATTCCGGCTACATCATTAATCCGACTCCTTCTTGTTCTTCTTCTTACCTTCCTCTTAGATGTTCTTCTGCAGAAAAAAAAATCATGTATGTGTGTGTGTTTATGTGTGCGTGTGTTTGGCTTAACTAGGCTGTTTTGCCTTAAGTCATTTGCAGTTGCTCACTCTGCGGTCGGCTCTTGATACCATTGATAAAATCAAGACAAAACGGTCTGCTGCCAGATCGTCCTGATCTAGAATCGGACCAGGTATTTTAGAATTGCGAAACCTGTTCACAATGCCAAAGCTACAGACTCCGACACATGATATAACTTTGTAAGTCATTACGCCCGTCACATGTTTCAACGGACGAGCTAATTCCCTCCATCTGACCAACGATCGTAGCTAACATTTAAATTTGGGATATGACTTACATTCCGAGCATCATCGAAAAAATAATACAGATAGTGCATATTTTCGGGTTAGTTCTGTTTTATGGATAACAAGGTATCTCTCTTTTCCCGCAATAGAAAAAAAAGAGGTTTAAAAAAAAATTACAAACGAATAACATTTAAAGTCTAGAGCAACCACTTAATTGCAACTTGAATTTTTCCCATATAGATCAGTTTTCTTCAGAACGGCCTGCCCTCTGTTAGCGGCTTCATTAAAAATATCAACTCCATTCGATCAGAAAGAATGATACATCTTCTTCTTCTTCGATCCTTCTGTTAAAAAAAACCTCAAATTAGGGGGCCGGTAGCCTTTATGAAAGCTATTGTGCAATCCAAATTCTCTCGTGTAGCATACAGCTTTGTCTTGATTGTGGTTGAAACAGGCCGATGGTGTCCCTGTTGTCAGCATACAGGTGACAGTGTTGGAGCACATGCTCAGCATTTTTGGGTGTCACGCTGCAGCGACACGCCTCTCTGTTTCCGACACTGACAAATTTGAACATGTGTTGATGAAGTCTGTTGTGTCCAGACTTTAGTCTGAATATAAAACAGTGTTCCTCTCTAGAGAGAGGATAAAGCGAGTCTTGGGAGAGAATTTGCTGTGTTTATCCAGATTGTAATAATGTTTTCATCTCTTGGTGGGTTGAGTCACTATTTAGTTGTACCATGTCACTGCCGCTTCTGGCTAGTATTTTATTGTCTTCCAAGCCACAGTGACCTGGGATCCACTGTAGTAACGATTTTTTCTACTGAAGCACCTAAGTGAATCAGCTGTTGCGTCAAGTCTACAAACTGGTGCATTGATGAGTCACCAGACCTGCTGGTATAGGCGTAAGCTAACTAAGCTACACATTAGGACCTTACAATCTGCAGTGGCCTAAAATAAATACCTTAATTTTTTTCCGACAAATAGTTGTTTGTATAACTGCAATATTTCTTCTTCTGCGTTCTTCCGAAGATGTCATTGAATTGTGCCTTCTACAACATGGCTGCGATATTTGCGCCTTTCGACCAACGCATCCGACTTCTGCAGGCATTTGTTGACCCGGTTAGCCTTTTTTTGCAAAATTTGCCTCTTTCTGATAAGTATTACTAATGCTCTAGATGATAAGGAAGAATAGAGAAGAGATGAAGACAACGACACAGAAGAAGAAGCAGAAGATGAAGAAGAAGAAGAAGAAGAAGAAGAAGAAGAAGAAGAAGAAGAAGAAGAAGAAGAAGAAGAAGAAGAAGAATAAGAAGAAGAAGAAGGAGAAGAAGAAGAAGAAGAAAAAAAAGAAAAAGAAGAAGAAGAAGAAGAAGAAGTAGAAGAAGAAGAAGAAGAAGAAGAAGAAGAAGAAGAAGAAGAAGAAGAAGAAGAAGAAGAAGAAGAAGAAGAAGAAGAAGAAGAAAAAGAAGAAGAATTAGTAGTAGAAGTAGCAGTGGTAGTAGTAGTAGTAGAAGTCATAGTAGTAGTCGTAATAGGAGCAGTAGTAGAAAAATAAGAACAAGAACAAGAACAAGTGAAAGGGAAACAAAATACAAATAAGAGGGAGGGACAAGTAAGCTCCAAAAAAAAAAAAAAAAAAAAAAAAAATTTAAAAAACTAATAAGGGGATAAGAAGAAAGGGGAGGATGCCTAGGTGCAAGAAGAATGTGAGATGGAGAAGAGGTGGTCATGGATGAAGGAGAACAGGTAAAAGAAGAAGAAGCCTAAAATTAACAAAGCAATTCAAACACAAACAATCACTAATACTCTTATTCTAATTTTTCCTGCCAGGTCTGTGAATGGTGCAAGCATGTTCGCCACACACTAAATTTCGTTGACTTTCAAGACGGAGATGTTCAGCTTCAATTTTGCAGTGAGAAATGCTTAAACCAATACAAGATGAACATCTTTTGTACAGAGGCCAGACAACATCTGGAGCAGATTCAGAACATGGCTGGCGAGGACGCCAAGAAAGTCAATGGCCCTAGCAAGGGAGGTAAACACGAGAAAGAAATATTGATAACTCCTGATCTATGGTTGTCTGCCCATACTGAAGTCGACATCAAGCAAGAAGTGAATGAGGATGACCAAGAGACAGTGCTATGTTTAAGGAAAGATAATACGAGTGCTAGGAAGAACAATCATACAGAAGAAGCAGGTGCTACCGAGGACTCTGAGACCAGATGGCCGGAAGCTGTTGAGACAAGATCTATTCTTAGTGACCATAGCAGCTGTTCTAATGATGATCGAGGGAGTCAAAAAGTGAAGTCATTGTTGATGTCCCGGCAGAAGAAGGACAAACCAAATTCACGTTACATAAATTGTGGTTCTAAGGCTAGTTTAGACTCCTATCAAGATAAGGACAAAAACAGAAAACGAACTCCTGCTATAAATGGAGATAATCATTCTCAAGAAACTCACCGTAACAATCCTCATGGAAAAGAGAAAGATAGATTCCCAGATGGACTCTCTCAAAAGAGTGCCACATTTCCTTCTCCTATAACTGCTGCTTCTTTTAACCCACAGCACATGAGTGCCTTGTCAATGATGCCAAACTGGGCAACGTCTCAGCTGTTGACAATGATGCCTTCTCACTTGAATCCTTCCTTTGGAGCAGCAAATATTAGTTCTAGTCTTGGTGGTCTAGGGTATATACCAAACACTCTGTTGTATTCTAGTTTGTTTAGTCCAAACTCACTACCAATGGCTGTACAAAAGGAAGCTGCATCATGCAGTATGGCCAGCACAAGAGCTGATTCCAGGCGGGAGGTACCTAGAGATAAATCTTTTGAAAGAGAGCGAGGACATGTGAGAGGAGATAGCACAGAGAGGTCTACAAGATCCACATCGTCATCATATTCTTCCTCAGACACACCAGGTCCTTCTTCTACTCCAGGTGCAACACTGAGCACAGGACCTGAACCAGTCTCAAGTTATGTGCCTGGATTTAGTCAACAGATCCATCATCCTCTGCAGACTGTTGACTTGGGACAGTCTCTACCGATTCCTCACTACCTGCATGACCCTACAGTGGCAGGGATGTTTCCTCTTGGCTACAACAACCTGACACCCACACAAAGAAATGGCACTTCAGTTGTAACTGGACTCCCTCCAGCAGCTCAAATCCAACATCAACCAACATCCACACCCACAGCTACCCAACAACAACTAACTATACCACCTGTAACCATTCTCGTTCCATATCCTGTTGCTGTTCCAATCCCAATCCCAGTTCCTATCCCTCTTCCAATTGCTCCAGAGAAACTCTTTGCCTTCTTTAGAGAGAAATCAACACAGAATAAAACAGAAACAGCCACTTCAGGTTCCCAGCAATGGTTACCTGATAACAGGTCTTCATCACCTCAAGCTGGTCGATCCGGAGCACCCAGCGCTAGCCACTCAGTTAGCGTAAGCCCAAGTGTCTCATCTAACAACTCACCAAAGGCTGTGCCCTTTCTGTGCCATCCATATGGATCATCTGCGACTATCTCCAACAGCGCAGAGCCAGCACTAGCCATACCCAGCGGCCGTGATTCAGCAGACTCCATTATGACCTTAAGACGAGAAATTTCTGGATCCAACAACAAAAAATCTGTGGTTATGCCCCCCTGTTCATCGACACTTTTAAAGCGCACAGGCATGTCCCCACGACATCTGACACTTCATGCCCCTAAGAAGCCCCGACTAGACTGTCCTCCTCTATGCAGTGAGGATGAGGCTATTGACTTGAGTAAAATGTCATCAAGATCATGCTCACCAGGAGTCTCGGGAAGCTGTTCTGAGAAGGAACACACCACTCTGATCAAACAAGCATCTTTGAGTGACACAGATGCTGACAGTTCATCCCAAACCTCCACACTTGCTGTCCCTAGAATACACATCATCACTGAACATAGCGACCATCCTTTGTGTCCATCATCTGCGGCAGTTACACTACCTTCCCCATCACATCAGTCAAATTATTCAGGCAGACGCAGCCGAATTCTCGATGCTCCTTGTATTCCCAAAAAAGTACGAACACCTTCTCCTGAGAGACGCTATGTCAGGACAGTCCCAAGAGACATGGTGGAGGCAGCCAGGAGAAGAGGGTTACGTGCACGTGTTCGCACTAAATAATTAAACTATGTGCACAGTCATCGACACTTTCCACTGAGAGATTCTACATTTAGACAGTGCAATGCGACATGGTTGGGACAGCCCAGAGGAGAGGGTTTTGCCATGACTGCCATCCGAGATGCAATCGTGTCTGTTCCAAACTCAGTGAAGATAAATCTGTATGGTATACATTAAGATAAGGAACTCACGATAACTTTCATAAAGGCTACCGACGCCCTTATATAAGTTTTCTGACAGAAGGATCAAAGAAGAAGAAATTAAATAAGTAGACAGTACAAATATAGTCATCAAACTTCTCCCCAAAGCAGCTGTATTCAAGTATTTTCAAGTCTCGACGCTGTTTTATAGAAGCAAAGTGACCGCAACCATGTACAATAAAATTTGGGTTTACATAATGTAAATAAAAACATACCAAGAAGAGATTTACTGTGCAGGTCGAGGTAACAATGATTTTTGCTATTCTATCTGTGTTTTGGGAATTCTCATCCAGACGCTGGCACATTTTTTGTCCCCAGGTGGTAATCGCTCATTTGTTAGGAATCCTTGCTCTATAGAGATTCTACGTCACGAGGATGCTACGAGACAAGGTCTATGCAGTCTGGAGATGAAGGTTAGGGGCACTCAGTAATTATAAATAATGAAGGTCATGGCAGTAACTGAAACAATAGCCTGGCTGGAGAGAGACTTTCATCCAGTATGTGACTCCTTATTTTCGTCTGTATTCACCCTTAAAAGAGCGGTTAGCCTAGTGTAATGTGGTTTACAGCTAGGCTGTGATATCTGCACCTATTTGTCCAGCACATCTGATTTGAGAAAACAGTCATTAATCTGTTACAGCATGCTACGTAAGGGCTATTGTGTATACACCCCCTCCCCCTTTTTTTTTACACACAGAGACATAAATGAGACCCTGAAGTTATACAGGGATTTCCTTGACTGGAGAGTAAATAAGATTGCGATAGCATGAGCTCAAATATGGTGACTGGAGACTCTGAGGAGTTTTCAACTGACAAATATGTTTATTTCTATCTACACAATAAGGGTCTTCAACAAGTTTACACTGAACGCCAAGAAAAAAAGAGAGGAAGAAGAAGAAGGGTGTCAAACTGGTCATTTACTGCTTCATTAAATGTTCCTTAACTTTGACATAATGTGCAATATTCAGCATATATTAATGCCTGCTTTTTGTGTATATTTGAACATTTAATAATTATATGTGATTAATTCATCATGACTATAAATCTAGTAATTTGTTTCCATATTAATATTTTTTTTTAGTGATATTCTGCTGCCTAAAGATTTTACTCTGCCGTGGCTCAGTGAGCCACTCTGGGATGTTAATAAACACTAGAGCTGTACCGAATACTCGCTTCGTATTCGCTTCGGGGCCGAATAGTGGACCTATTGACTATTCGGTATTCGGCCGAATAGTTGCGGTCGGGCCGAATACGAATAGTAGTTACCTTACGCCCGCTTTTATATACACGGCATTATTACTGACAACATGGAACGATTGATTTTGTTGAAAGCTAATGCAGCTTTTCCGCATTAACTAAGCTGTTTGTGGCAATTTCCAAGTTTGGTTACGTGTTATATTACTTAGGATTCTTTCATTTCTAGTTATTAGCCATTAATTACCACAGACTGACTGAAGGATGCAAAACATAAAATGTTTTTAAATGTTTACTAAACTGTACGAATACTAACTAGACATGGAAAGAATATAAACTCCGGTCACATCCAAGTCGATAATATGAAAATCAAACGAACGGAAACATATAAGTTCTTGGGTGCAAACTTGAACTGCTCCAACATACTGAGAGAAGAAATACAATCTAGAATACAATCTAGAAATAAAGTATACTATGACCTTCAACATCTGCTAAAGTCAAAGTGTCTGTCTCGCAATAACAAGATCAAAATATATAAAACGTTGATAAGACCAGTCGTTTTATATGGCTCTGAAACTTGAAGCAGAAATAAAAGAGATGAGGCCTAATTACAGGTTTTCAAAACCAGTCTTACGACAAATCTTTGGACCCATCAAAGATGCTAACAGCGGGAAATGGAGAGTGAGAAGCAACAACGTAACACATAATCTGTTCAAATCACCATTGATCACTGGCATCATGAGAGCTAGCAGACTACAATGGCTGGTGCATATTGAAAGAATGTCAGATGACAGAGAAGAAAAAAATGTATGCATCCGAGAGAGGAATGGGCGTAGACCACGAGGCAGACAAAAAAGAAGTTCGAAAGATAATGTCCAGTCAGACCTGCAAACAGCTGATATCACAAATTGTAAAGAGAAGGCCAGCCAGAGAGATGAATAGAGACGAGTGATATATGCAGCAGTAAACCTCAAGGGCTCAAAATGCTATAGAAGAAGATGACTATTCTGTGCTATTTTATGTGAAATAAAAGTTCAGCGCAGATTTGACATTATAAATGTTTTTTTTTTTTAGATATATTTTATACACTATTCGTATTCGGCCGAATAGTTGGTCCCGCTATTCGTATTCGGCCGAATAGTGAAAATGACTATTCGGTACAGCCCTAATAAATACTATAAAAAATCCCTGATACCCTCCCTGTTCAGTGGTGTTTGAAAAATGTACAGGCGTTTTGCATACCTATGGCGTATGGAACATATAGTGCTTGAGAGAAGTTTAGGAGGCGATACGCTCATTAAAAGAAGTATGGAGGAAAACACGTCACTACGGAGATGATGACTGAGGTGTACCAGAGAACGTGTGTGACAAAGAAGTGGCCTACTGAATGGACATAATCCTTGGTGATACCATTGACAAACAAAGGAAATTTAAAATGCTGCCAAATTATAGAACTATTAGTCTTATCATCCACGCCAGCAAAATAATGCTGAAGATACTGCTCTACAAATTAGAAGCATAATCTGAAGAAAAACTAGCCAAAAAAAAAAAAACAGGCGAGTTTCCCGAAAAACAGAAGCACCGCAGAATTAATCTTTAGCTTTGGAACAATGATAGAAAAAAAAAAAAAAAAACGCTAACAACATCATAGCCACATATTCCACAACTTCATTGATTTCACGAAGGCATTTGACCGTGTGTGGCATGTTCGGCTATGGCAAGTAATGAGAAATTTCATCTTCATTCAGAGGCTATGGCAAGTAATGAGAAATTTCATCTTCATTCAGAGGCTATGGCAAGTAATGAGAAATTTCATCTTCATTCAGAGGCTATGGCAAGTAATGAGAAATTTCATCTTCATTCAGAGGCTATGGCAAGTAATGAGAAATTTCATCTTCATTCAGAGGCTATGGCAAGTAATGAGAAATTTCATCTTCATTCAGAGGCTATGGCAAGTAATGAGAAATTTCATCTTCATTCAGAGGCTATGGCAAGTAATGAGAAATTTCATCTTCATTCAGAGGCTATGGCAAGTAATGAGAAATTTCATCTTCATTCAGAGGCTATGGCAAGTAATGAGAAATTTCATCTTCATTCAGAGGCTATGGCAAGTAATGAGAAATTTCATCTTCATTCAGAGGCTATGGCAAGTAATGAGAAATTTCATCTTCATTCAGAGGCTATGGCAAGTAATGAGAAATTTCATCTTCATTCAGAGGCTATGGCAAGTAATGAGAAATTTCATCTTCATTCAGAGGCTATGGCAAGTAATGAGAAATTTCATCTTCATTCAGAGGCTATGGCAAGTAATGAGAAATTTCATCTTCATTCAGAGGCTATGGCAAGTAATGAGAAATTTCATCTTCATTCAAAGATGCAAGCAGTACAGTACTTATTCAAAATGACACCTGCGAATTTTCCAAATGTAGTGTGGGAGTGAGGCAAGGTTGCATACAATTCCCTGTCGTTTTCAAATATGTTTTCTAGTTTTCAGACTCAAGAAAATCATGAAACATCTACATCTATTGGCGGAAGAACACAATGTAATTTACGTTTTGCAGACGACATTGATCTCATGGCTGGTCCCGAAGCAGAACTCCAAGAACATACTACAAAATAATAGACAATCTGTGGTATATAGGGCATGGAAATTAGTGCCGAGAAAAGCAAGATTCTGGTAAACAGCTACAATAATCAAGGACCTACCAACATACAGATAAAGGAGAAAGAACAACACTAGAAGCTGAAAACGTTAAATACATTGGCTCCCACATAAGTAACGACAGCAGATGTACAAGAAAGATCAAGACAAGCTATGGTATGGCAACAGCCGCAATGTTCCAGCTGTAAACGACGTGGAAGAGCAAAGTCAGCATTGCAGTAGAGGTCAATATTTACAAAATAACTGGTATTCTAAATTTTCCTATACGGATGTGAGAGTTGGACTCTCATTGTGGGAATGGAAAGGAGGATTCAGGCTTTCGAATGTAAATGTTACAGACGCATGTTACGAATTAGTTATTTAGAACACAAAACCAATAAGTATGTCAGAGACAAAAAAATTCAAATTTGCAGGACATCAGGAGCCTTTCTTGGCAGTGGCGAAACGTGGCAAGCTAGTTTGGTTAGGGCACATGGTGAGGCAAGATTCAATTGAAAAAAAAAAAAAAAAGACTGTACTTCAAGGAACACTGGGGTAGTGGAAAGGGGGGGGGGGGGGGGGTAGTCGAAGAAGAGAAGGGCAAAGAAAATCTGAAATGACAACATCAATAAATGGTCAGGACTAAGTTATCATACATTTATTCATTAGGCGGAAGCCATAAAGATGGCGAGTTTTTGTGTGTGTTAATGCTTCCATCGATACGCCTCCACAACCATAATGGGTCAAGTGTTATGTTATGTAAGGATGTGCTATGTGCTATGTGCTATGTAAGCATATGCTAGAGCTAGATATTTTATTGATACCCAGACGGTTGATTTGGTCAACATCACGCCATAATCCATGACTTCCCAGGATATTATCAAGCACCCATTTTTGACTGGGTTGATTTTGGAGCCAATTTAAACTATGAAAACTATCTGTCTCGATGCATATTTGAACCCTAGTCC